TTCCCTTATACTTATCCGTTTTACACTAGCTAAGAACAAAGCTACCGCTTCTTCCCAAGTTTCTTTTGAATAAGTTAGGATACTGCGATTTTTCTTTCCTGACTCCATATTTTTTTGATAGAAATAGACATGTTTATTAATAGATAGCTTCTAATAAGACGATATTTTCGCATTTTTTTTTTTTAAATCATTGCGTGAGCTAAACATACGAAGTAAAATATTAATTACCACAAAGTCTGGATGAGGATAAAAAGATAAGAAATAGTGATTGCTATCTTTGCTCCGTTTGCATTCTTTTGCGATAAGATGATATAGCAATTATACAATGTTAAGTTTCGCTTTCCAACCTTAAATATTATTATTCAAGACGAGAGATCCATATGTGCAATTTTTCTGGAGCTAGTGCGGGAAATTTTTCATTGGCCTATTTTATGAAAGCAATTTTTGCAAGAACTGCTCAGTTCAGTTATTTTGGGTGCATTTTGTGCATTTTCAATAAAACATTACACTTTCGAGAAAATACTCCATAATTTCCAGTCCCCTTCTAAGTTCTTAATTCTACGATTTCTAAAATTTTCTACTTTGAAAGTAGTTATGAGAAAAAGCAAATGAATGTATCCAAGGTGATAATGAAACAAATAAAATTAAGCCATCAACGGAAAAAATTTATTTCAAAATTTCGAACCACTTTATTTTTGGTGGTGATTCACTTCACTTTAGTCCTTTCGATCGTTGCTATAAACATGATGGATATGCCCATGCTACCCACTATTTCACTATCTGAATTCTTTTTATAGCATGATGCTTATTGCGATTTCTAAACTACACTTTGTTCATATTACACAAGAATTTATTGTTATGAAAAAGAATGATTTATTGAACGTTTTAAATTAGTCTGTTTATGTTGTCCTTATCCATACTAGCTCTGAGTGTGTGAGCATGCATTTTTTCTAATAAATATTTCAAAGCAGATTAAAAACATATTTCCAACAGTTGAAACAAAAATCGTCCTTTGTCAATTTATTTTTATTGATAGTACTTTTAGTTGCTCAGTTTTAGTTTTTTTTTCGTATACTTTTATTTCATATACTTATTTTCCGAATATTTCCAATACTTCGTTTGCAGCCTGCCAACGCTTGTTATTTCTACATGGACAATCTCCGCATACATATATATTAAATATTTGAGAAAACCAGTACTTAAAACATTTGCAACTCTCTTGTTTATCATTTATTTTTGCTGGTAGAACAATTTCTGCAGGAAAATGCTTCATGACGAGATTTATATCTGTTATATTTACGGAGATTTTTATTATTTTTAAAAACGACAAGGACAGTTGAATTTTGTGTTTATGTAAACCTTCAGAAATAGCAATTCCGACAGTAATGAAATTGTCATAGTAAAATTTGGCGATAGAAACATAGATGTTAACAATGATGAAAAATAAAAGTGATAATTTGATGCTACAATGAATAATTTTAAT